TTGTCAAAGATTTCATATTACATGGTTCCACAATCAACACCAATGGAAGCAGCAGTCAAGAAATCAGATGACATATTACATTGGGAAACTCTATTGCAAAAGACCTCTTTAAAGTGCTGAAGACCAAAGATGTCTCTTTGAAGACTAAGGTGTGCCTAACCCAAGCCATGGTATTTTCAATTGCCTCATATGCCGATGAAAACTAGACAATGAATAAGGAAGACTGAAGAAGAGTTGATGCTTTTGAGTTGTGGTATTAGCAAAGAATACTGCAAGTGCCATAGACTGCCAGAAGAACAAACAAATCCGTCCTGGAAGAAGTATAGCCAGAATGCTCCTTAGAAGTGAGTGAGAATGGCCAGACTTCATCTCACCTACTCTGGTCATATTGTCAGAAGGATATCACACTTGGTAAAGTGGATGATCAGAAAAAAAGAAGAAAGCCTTCAATGAGATGGATTGACACAGTGGCTGCAACAATGGGCTCAGATATTGCAAGAGTTACGAGGCTGGCACAGGACCAGGCAGTGTTTCGTTCTACTGTACATACTGTTGCTGTGAGTCCGTGATGACTCAATGGCACCTAACAACAAACAACAGTATTAACTGGTCTTCCTTGTAGGCATATGGATATTATCCTATCATGGACAGCATTGTACTTCAGGGTGTATCTTGAAATGGTTTTTTTGACAAAGAATGTCACCCTTCTCCTCCTGAATTTGTCATTCCTGTCACAGGAGATCATATGATTGTCTGATTCAAAATGGCCAATACCAGTCCATTTCAGCTCACTAATGCCTAAGATATTAATCTTTATGCATTCCATTTCATTTTTTATAACTTTCAATTTTCCTAGATTCATACTCTGTGCATTCCACAATCTGATCATTAATGGACTTTTGCAGCTATTTTCTTATCTTGAGTCATGCCACAACAGCAAATGAAGGCCCTGAAAGCTTTATTCTATCCACATCATTAAGGCTGACTCTACTTTGAGGAGATAGCTCTTCCCCAGTCATAGTTTGAGTGCCTTCCAACTGGAGGGGCTCATCTTCAGCACTAAGTCAAACGATGTTTCACTGCTATTCATAAGGTTTTCAGTGGCCAATTTTTTCAGAAGTGCACCACCATGACCTCTTTCCTAGTCTCTTAGTCTGGAAGCTCCACTGAGACCTATGCACGATGGGTGACCCGCTGGTACTTGAAATCCTGGTAACAGCTTCCAGCATGACAGAACATGCAAACCACTACAGTACGACAAACTGACAGACAAGTGATGGATACCTTAAGGGGCCAATATTCAGCCTGCTGCACACCAAGGTCTTCCCTGTGACAAGGTCTTAGTTACCTGTGATTGGAATGCTGTTCCCGTCCCCTCACTCTGCACGGCCAGACTCTTCTTCTTGAGGTTACGGTTCCTGTGTCATCTCCTCCAAGCATCTCCCTCTGACTAACCCCAATCTAAAGGCTTTCCTCTACCTTGGACCTTGTTTACTTCTTTCCTAGCATTTACAAGGGTAGATATGGTGTTATGTGCTTCTTTGATTCCCTTGTTTTTGGTCTGCCTCTCCCTCTACGTTTACCATAAGTGCCTAGAGAACAGGGACCATGTCTGTTCATCCATCCACGGACTGTCAAACATAACCATCAGTGGACAAGAAGTCGACTCTGCCTCACAGCAACACCGTGAGTGTCAGAGGAGAGCTGTACTCCATAGGGCTTTCAATGGCTAATTTTTTTCAGAAGTGGATCTCCAGGACTTTCTTCAGAGATACCTCTGAGTGGACTTGAACCACCACTGTTTTAGTTAGCAGTTGAACATGTTAAATCATTTGCACCACCCAGGGACTCCTCAAACAGAACTAATTAATAAATAATTGCTAAATGAACTTGTTGCCATTGTTGCTGGGTGCCATCAAGTAGATCATGACCCACAGCAACTCAATGTGAAAGAGTAGAACTGCCCCATAAGGCTTTCCTGGCTGCAATCCTTAAGGAACCAAATCACTAGGTGTTTCTCCCATGAAGCTGATGGAACAAGGTAGACACTCAAACTGCCAATCTTTTGGATAGCAGCAGAGTGCTTAACCACTGTGCTATCAAGGCTCCTTTGAATGAATTTAATGAAGATGAATGTGCAGCAAAAGGGCTGATGTGTCACTCCCCAGAGAAAGCAGGCCTGTCTCCATCTTCCTCTTGATCTAAGAGAAACAATGGTCTGGGGAGAAAAGAACACCACCAACAAAGACAACCCACAGTCAAGCTCGCACACAGGAGGCCAGTGAGACACTGCAGAACTTAGCAAGCCAGGCACATGGAAACCCTTCATGGGAGCAAGACTTGACTGGTGCACACCCACCTGAGCCCCTACTCATTAAATGCAGCTAAGAATTATTTCAGCAAGGCTCTCTGCAGAGAGCCATACCCAAACCTTTTTCATCTGTCTTCTGTTTGAGACTCCTGGAGCCACCTTGAAAGAATCGATGGAGGCCCTGAGGTTCTTTTACATTTGCTGCAATCTTTCGGTCTGGGTACCATGGGACACCCACACAGCTTAAAATTTCATGCTGGGTTGGATTTCTCTAAGCTGAAGCCAAATGTGTTTTTGATTGCCAGGTATTTCTAAGAGTTGCTTTTGACTGAAGCAATAATTTATCTAGTTGAAAACATCATTTTTCTTTCCCCTTCGAGCAGAAAATTGTGCTTTAATATTTGACATATTTCAGGAATATTTTTAAATGTTTGGTCACAATGAAGATAGTGTTGGTGACTCAATAGTTCTGTGCTCTGTGATTATTTACTGTAGAACATTCATGGTTATGTTTTCTATAAAGGACAAACTTTTTCACAACAATGACAAAAACAAAGAGTAGCTTCTGAGGCTGTTTATGTCCAACCAAGAGCCTCATGGGATTTGGTTTTGAGGTTTGGGGTCCTGATTTCCTGGGACATCCCAGTTAATTGGCCTAATGACATGTTTAGTGCCTCTGTGCTACCTCCAGGTTTGATGTGTAGTGCCTGGGGTCTTAAAAGCTTGCAAAGCACAACAACTTGGTCTCTATTTGCCTGGAACAACAAAGGAAGTAGACTCGGGAATAGGAGGAGGATATGGAATGTGTAACTAATTGCCTCTCTGAACAACTGCCTCCAATGCCATGAGACAAGAAGAATTGGATGGTGCTCAGCTACCATCACTGAACATTCTTATCAAAGATTCCATGGAAGGATCCTGATTAAAAAGATGGGAAAGGTGGAATACAGTTTCAAATTCTCATGGACTCCAGACTTCCTGGGACCAAGAAGGTTGGATAAACCCCTGAAACTATTGCCCTGAGATCATCTTAAAAACTTAAACCAAAAACATCTCCTGAAGTCATTTTAAAAATCAAACCATAATTTAGTTTAACTAGTAAAGAATGCCTGCCTTGTGCATTAAGTTCTTTTAAGAACCATCTCTAAGAGATCAAATTGACAACAGCAGCTTGAAAGATTAGATGGGAACCACAGGGGCCAGTAAATTTATGTGAGCAGGAGAAGAACAACTCAGAAAAGGAGGGTGATTACAGTTACACAACTCTAAGAATGTATGCAATGTCACTAAACGATACATATAGAAATTATTGAACTAGCGTGTTTTGCTGTGTATATTTTCAACAACAACAAGATAAATAAAGTTGTATAAAACAATACAAACTTTGGAGAATAAACAAAGTGGTTTATAAGTATTAACCAGTTTTCACAATAATAATGTTTAAAATAGTAACACGTGCATAGCACCTAACTATTTCACACACATCATTTTGAAACCAGAAAGACGTATGCCTATAAGGCAGGGCCTGATTTTGCCCCTGTAAACTTTTCAGTCTGTGACTTTATGTCCTAAAGCATTCTGGAACAAATAACAAAAAAAGCCACACCTTATGAACATATTTTGGAAAGTCTGTCTTCAGAGTTTAGTTCATAGACATCTAGCAGAGATGGGGCCACTTAAAATTGTCACCCAGACTCATTTTTAAAAGCTGGATTTGGATGAGGGGCCACTTTCAAAGGCTTAACTGAAGAGTAATTGATTTCACGGGACAAACAAGTCCACATGTGATCCTAGCTGTAGAGATCCTATTCCTCTTACACATCTAGAAGGTCTTGGGGAATAAGCAGGGACTGTCTATATCTCCTTCCAACAATGTTTCTAGGTACCAGAAAGGACAGGAGGGTGAACTGTAGCCCTCTTTCTACTGGGAGGCGAGTAGGGTGCTGGGGTGCAAAATATCAAAGCTGAACACATGAATATTCTGAAACCTCAACCACAGAGGACACTCCATGTGCAGGTACTCCTGGGTGAGTTGGAGAAGCCAGTTATGGGGGGTGACCCATGAGTCTTGACAGGGTAAAAGGTTGCTTCCAGAACACTCCCTCCTCACATGGAAGAGGGAGTAGAGGGAGAGCTTCTGTGGGTCCAAGTCTCTATACAGGAGGTTCTCTGTTAACATCTGTGAGCCCCTCTGGCCCCTGCAGGATCAGCTGGGGTTGACTCCATGCCACTCTTCTATATCCATGTATTGACTCCTGGGAAGAAGATGATGGCAAAAGTTTTGTTGTCAGGTGCCATGGAGTTAATTTGGACTCACAGTGATACCATCTGACAGATTAGAACTGCCCCATAGGGTTTTCTTGGCTATAATCTGTGAAGCAGATCACCAGATCTTTCTTTCATGGAGCTGCTGGATGGGTTTGAATCACCAACCTTTCAGTTAACAGCCAAGTGATTAACCTTTGCACCACCAGGGCTCCTTATGGCAAAAGTAGGCTTGGGAAAAGTCTATTCTGGAAACCACTGATGGGCCCTCTTCTACCAGAAAGAAAAAAACTGACTGATTGTATTTCCAGAAAACTCCATCAGCCCTGAGGAGGACAGAGCTCAGTCTGAATGGGCCACTGCCACAATCTGTAATCCAGCTTCTGCATCCAAACAAACCGAGATAAGCGTCAACCCAGAGACATCAAAGCAAGAGTCTGGAGTCCTTACGGCTGAGCGTCTCCATTTCCTCTGGAGACAAAGTGTTCCCTCGGAGCCTAAAGGGGGACAAAGCAAAGAGAGATCTGAATGAGGACACAATCAAAGTAGCACTTTCCAAGGGAAGGTGTCACTTTTTCAACACAAGCCGGGGACAATCTGAGCCTCAGGCCTGGCGCAGCAGCCTTGGAAGTTGTCTGTGGCGTCTGGCCCCTCTGTCTGTCAGCCATAGATTGGATGAATTTTTCTGATGATGAGCAAGGCTCCGTGACACTGCAGAGAGAACCCACACTGGACCCAGCAGGTCACAGGCCCCCAGAGGCTGGTGATTCTTTTCAAGGCAACAGCAGAATCCATCAAGAATGCAATGAGCAAGTTCTGATACCTTCCAAGCTCTGGAAACATGGCAGCAAATCACACCAGAACCCTTAAAATATCAACCTCATACTGGCTTTCTGCCCCCCGACACAGAATGTGACATTTCTTATGGCTGTGCAATGGTTTAAAAAATAAAACTACACATGCTGTCCAGGACCTGATGATCTCACCAGCTATGGAGATTATACAACCATGCAGGAAGGAAAAGGTCGCCTCACAGGACAGATGCTTTGAAGCTCTAGCTGGTTTTGTTTTTCATGTTGATGTCTGATATCTACATTTGCTGCTGTCTTGCTATGGTTTTTGAGGGGAGGAACAAGATCTCTGTCTGCATATGTAAAGTGGGGGTCCCAAGCTTATGGGATGAGGCAGGTCATATGCAAAAGCCAAAGGGGGCGTGGTGGGTCAAGTAGAGCAGGAAGACACATCTGAGTGGGGCAGGTCCTTCTCTATTCTGGTTAATTAGCAGCATTGCAAACAGGAGTCCAGAGCTGCCAGATCTTTTGAGAAAGCCATGAGATAGAGATTTTATAAGAAATCTAGTTTTTAGACACTGGTATCTAGCCAGTCCTCTTGTTGTTATTGGGTCCCGTTGAGTCAATTCCTATTCATGTCAGCTCTGTATGACCGAGGAGAACTGGCCCATAGGGTTTCCTAGGTTGTAATCTTTACAGAAGCAAAGTGTCAGGACTTTCTCCTATGGAGTTGCTGGGTGGCTTCAAACTGCCAACCTTTCTGTTAGCAGCTGAGTGCTTAACCATTTGCACCACCAGGGCTCCTTAGCCTAGTGCTAGGGAGCTCTGGTAGCATAGTGCCTAA